CCCACCTTATCAAACAACCAATCGTTTCTATGGATTTGAGAACAATTTACTTTTGACATTAGAATTATCTTATCATTTCTGCAGAGAATTACACTTATTTCTGGTTTCTGGTCCAATGCACAATTCAGTCTCATCAACATCTGAAACTTCACTATTCTTTACATGCCACAATTGCTCTCTCTTCATTTGATCCTTGCTGTGGTTCAAGTCCAAACTAAATCATCAAAACCTCAAATCAATGACTGTGTTGGATTTAAAGAGTTGGGAAGGAACAGAAAATTGTCATGATCATGGCCTTGCAGAACTTCAACAACAATTCAAGGAATCATAGGCCGAATATTTATTTCAGAAACACTAGCAAAGAATTCGTCTGTGAACCTTGGTGATGAATGGAAGTAGTATGATTCTGCCATAGTGTGAACTTGCAAATTTGAAATTGTTCCATCAGCAAGGCTTACCAGATTGGTAAAGTCATCAAACTGTTAATTAATTATTTGTTAAAAAGGAACCGTCATTATTAGCGAAGAAACTATAGAGTAGGAAATAATAAAGGAACCACCACAACTATTGACAAAACCACTGCCGGAAACCACTACAGCCATCGGCAACAACCATAGCCAAAACCCCCCACCAAACACGCCCAACAATGCACCACCCCACAACCTCACCAAATGCGGCAGAAGGATTTTGGCGGCCTCCTCCAAGTCCGTCACCGGAAACAACCCCATCTTCAAATCCTTCAAGAGAAGCAACTTATTTGAATGGAAATTAGTTTTTTCTCACCAAGAATAGGCACCTACGTAGAAGTGGACATCAGCAGTTTCTGAATCTGTCGGCGATAGACTATCGGAGAGATGGAGGCGGAATATCGGAGAGGCACTGCGCTGGTAATGGTCAAGTAGGAGAGAAACGGCTTCGGTTTTGGGAGCTTGTGCACCCAGCAGTGCATTACAGTACCATCACCTAGGTCAGTGACAGTCGATCGGAGGACCAAATTGGTAAAGCCGGATTTGAGGAGCCAGTTTATTGATGCAGTTAAGCTGAAGCATTTAGACATAGCAGCGTCTGTGGTCTCCAGTGACGGTGCGAAGAAGGCCAAGAGAGAGAGAGAGAGAGAGAGAGGAGGGAGAGACGAGATAGAGGGGGTGGGATTGGAAAGAGACGATTGAGAGATAGGATTGAAAATCAGGTTTAATTAGGGTTTTAATTAACACCTGATTTTTGATAAAATAAACACTACACTTGATTTTAGGTAATTTTCTCTATTAGGAATGAACTAGGTGAAATTTTTTTCTTTACAAAAATGGTATTCTTATTTTCTTATTGTACTTTGAACGCATTAAGATGTCACAAGTAGGGTTGGACAAGGAATGGGTTGGGTTGGCCTTTTTTTTTTCCAAATTCAAAACCAACCAAACGTGGTCGGTTTGATCTAAAATAAAACCAAACAAACTCAACCCAATGATTGGTTTAAATCCAACCCAGCACAAAACGATCAAGTTTGGGCTGGTTTGGGTTGAGTTGATCGGTTTGGGCTTCGGGCCAGTAAAAATTAAATTCAATTGAATATAGAAAATGATAGAATATAGAATTTCAAATAAATCATTGAATATTCTAGAACATAACCATTAATATAGCGATATAAAAGTTCACTTTTTGTTGAAATTGGACAATTTTTAAAAGTTTGAAATTACTTGAAAACTTTTATTTATTTTTTAACATCTATGTAAGGAATTCATTCCGAAAATAATTTATAAATAAGTTTAAAATTATGAATTATTTTCTTTTTTACAATTTTTTGGGATTCATTCATTTCATTATTATGTCCTTAATTTTTATTTTATCGCTAGATAACTTTTCATTTTTGCATAGTATTCATCTCAATCATATATATAAAAAAATGGATGTCTATAAATTTTAAGTCATTCTTTTATCTTCACCTTTGTGTCAATTTAATTTTTTTTTATTTATTGGGTTGGATTGTATTAGGTTGGATTTTAATCCATAACCCAACCCGAACTTAAAAACCAACCCTGAGTTGGTGGGGTTGAACGATTTGGATTGGGTTTTGCTCGGACCTACTCACAAGTTAGATATATTTCAATTCAATTATTATTGGGTGCTACTATTTATATCCACATAAGTTATATATATATATATGTGTGTGTGTGTCCACTTTTAAAAAGAAATTTTTATTATACTTTTGATCTTTTGTAAATTTACTTAAATACACATGTAAAAAATTAAGTAAAAATATATCACTCTAAATTCATCCACTAAAAAAAGGACCGGAGATGAAGTAAATGAAGGTAAGTACTGCGAACAAACTAAATAAATTAAATGATTGTTCAACTAAACTTTAAGAAGTTCCAATCCCACAATCTGTACATATACACAAAAATTGCTCACTGCCCTTGAGACAAAATATGATGCTAACTCTATTCCTGGATCTGAAATCTAGACCAGAGAGCTGTTCTACAGAACTGCATCCATGAAGTCAAAAATAGACAAATTATTTAGAAGCAAAAAGTGTTATTTCTGCAGTATCTATTTTCAAACAATCTGACAGAATTACTTAATAAATCTGCACAGCGTAACGGTATGATCAACAGAATCAAAAAATGAATTCGAGCCAACCGACTTCACGATGTTTCCTTAAAACAAATTTGCTTCCTTCAAAAGGTGCTTAAGGCGTCCAGCAATCGTTTTCCAGGATAGAACGAATTTCGTCTCCTACGGAAGCAGCACAGCAATCTGCAGGAGTTCCAGCGAACTCAATGAAGTGTATTTACTTCGAAAATAATATCAGAACGAGAGAGAGATAGAGGGAGAATGAGATTCAATGCAGAGAATAATAGCAATGAAAATT